TGTGAGAGAAAGGGCAGCTGGACAGAGAAGAGAGAAAGGGGATGCAGGCAACAGAGACACATATAGAGACACGCAAGGACCCTCTGGAGCTCAGCACCTCCCACCACTGCCACCGTTTCCCCTGGCCCTCTGAAGCATCTCACCGCTTATTACCTGGGGGCAGGGAGGAAGGAAAAAGATTGGTTAACCACCACAGATTTCAGGGAATTAAATGCAATCAACAGGGGGAAAGAAGCAGCAACATGATAAGTAATATTGCCTACACAGTGCCTCCAAAGCTGTGACGAATTCCCCCCCATCTCCAGCAACCCTCCAGGCTAAAGTCTTTCTTGGCTTGTCTTTCCCCTTGTGTCTCTCCTTCACATGTTTTGGGGAGATCTTTATGGTCTCTTATGGCTCTTGCAGAAAATGGGCAGGCATTGCCTGTTGGAGCCAAAGTGTCCTTAAGCAGTAGAAAACAGCAATTGCACAGTAAACTGGTGCATCAGCTCGTTACGGGGCAGTCTGCAATGGAATTACACAGGACAAATAACCCTGCACAAATTAGAAGGAGCAAGAGAAAAAAAGGGATTCACAACTTGCAAAGCATCCCAAGATGATTTGCAGGAAAATGCAAGGCACAGAGCCTCACACTTTGTCCTCCTCTTCCTGCCTGCAAGCAAGGGTTTTCAAAAGGACACCTCAAGCAAGGGATCAACATCGACAATCCTCACTCCAAACATGCATGGCAACCCATGCCTCCCAAAGGTGGTCCCGTATTTCAGAAAGAGGTGTCTATGTATCAAGGTGATGTTTTCATTGGACCGAGCACTGCCTGTTTGCCTCTATTCTGTTCGGTTTTCATTGAAAGTGGGATGCTTGTTGCAGTTGAACAATGAAGCTTTAATCTTCTCCCTATAAGGCAAATCTGTTGGGTTTTTTTGTTTGTTTAGGTTTTTTTATCAAACAAAGCTCTAAAAAAGATGATCCCTCCAGTACATGGGTGATTATCCCCTTCGACTCAGCTTGCAAAGTTACGTGCTCCAAGCACAGGTATGGATTTAATACCATAATCACTGCTACCTCTTCATCATGCTGTTAGTTTTCTCACATCTGCCTTTGCTTAGCATTAAAAAATGCCTTAGAAGTTTTGTGGCTCTCCCTCCTACCCCAGGAGCATTTTAGGCAGCAAGGACTTAACACTGACTTGAGTTTTGCGTGTGCAGTCTGCACAGAAGACACCTCTACACTGTCAGCTGCATATGAATTGTATTTACTGAGCTTGTTATCAACAAGTAGAAACCTTCACCATGCCCATAATCAACTATCTGACACAACAAAAGCCTATTTTCAAGGGAAAATAATGAAAAAAACAATATCCATCCTGCCCCCCCCCC